AAGCAAGTAATGAAAGAAGTTGGTTCAGAAGGTGTTGAAGCTCCTCACAAAGACTGGGCAGGGACTTCCATGCGTTTTCCACGAGTTGCAAAAGACTGCATGGGGTTGCTATTGATACTTCTTTGGCTGGCAGACATTTCCCTTGAGATGTAACCTGTCAGTCTGCCAGCTTCCATTTAACGGCTCCATGCAGCAGAATCCACCCTTTGCTATAAAGAACTTTAGTCCAGTTTTTTTTTTTTTTTTGCATTTTCCCCTCCAAATTCCACAAGTATAAGTTCATTTTGGGTTTTTCCTCCAATTCCTGGCAAACTAAACTTTCCCACCTCTTGAATTAGGTTGCTAAAAATATTCTCGGCTATTGAGGGTGGTTTTCGTTTTGTTTTTGTTTTTAACCTATGTCTAATGCAATTAATGTCATGTTCACTAGACTTTCTTTTTCCATTTTATTGTTATCCTCTATTTCCAAGATAGGTTTCGAGAGAATTGATGCTTTTGTTTCCTTGTGCCAATACTTTATCGGGCACCGCAAATCTTTTCTGTATTTTTGTGTGCTAACATTTAGCTTTCCTAGAATGTCTTTCCGATGGCGTTCAGACAGGGTTGGTTTTACACAGTGCCCCTTCCTGTGGCTTGAAATTCCATTTTTGTACAGATAGAAGGCTTTTTTTCAAATCCAAACTTTTGCATTTTAAAAGCAATTATGATGGATTTTAAGGACATTTTTAAAAATACATGCTTTCATTTGTATTCTGAAACCTGCAAATCTTTCACTTCCCTTGCTTATCACCCAGCTTGCAACTCTCATCTGCCACAGTCGTAGTTCTTCATCTACCTGTTCTGCCAGGAAAATGCTTCCTAGAAGAAAACAACATTTCAAGTTATAAATGCAATTGAGTTATCTCTTCTAGGGACATGGGTATTTGCATGAGAATCTTATCTCTTACTACAAACTAACACTCTTGAAGACTATTAAAGGAACAGTGTATAAGGTAGAGAGGGTGGGAAGAGCTTCCTGATTTAGGCCTCACAGATCAAGCAGCCAGACCCAAGACTCTTCCTATACCTTGCTAGGCCAAGCTGTGGGGTACAAATATGCTGACTTAGGCACTGGATTTGGGATCTTAGAATGCTTTCATTGAAACTTGGGAAGCCAGAAACCAAATCAGAGTTTTGAAGAAAGCATCCCCAGTCTCTGGCTTTCCACTCCTTCAGTGTCCAGCTAAGTGGAGAGAACAAGACAGCATGGTCCCTTCTCCTGCGTAAGAAGATAATATTAACAGGAGCTAGCTATGTGTCATTTTAAGTTCCATTTTTCTAGAGGAGATGCTCCAACATGTACTTTGTCGAACTCTTGCGGCAAGCATGAGAAAGCCATCAAACATAATGCAATGTAGTTTTAGGAAATTCTTCTGTGATATAAGAAGAATATGGAAGAATCACAATGATCTAATTTGTCCTCCTATCCCACTTACATACTGAAAATAAGGCCCAAACTGAAAAATGTAGAATTAATCCCTTGAACAAAACAATAAAATGTGAGATTTTTATTCTCGTTCCTTTAATGGGAATTGTCTGTAAAGCTAAAACAGTTAACATGAAACCATTTGGGAGAAAAAAAAGTGGTCATATTTTATAATTCGCATTTTAGACACACTGCCTTGTAAAATATTTCTCTTACTAATTGCACTTAGTGGTTATAAAATTAAATGGGCTGCAATGGCTAGTCACCCGGTTTCCTGAATTGTCAGATAACCAGAAATAATTTGTTATGAAGTTGAGGAGTTGTAAAAGTGAATTTCAATCAATGCTACATTTATACAGAATTTTGCATTTTTCATGCAATTTAGCCCCCTTTGCAATTGATACCTGTGTAATGTATTTGATAATATCTACAAAGACATCAATATCCTTCATGTAGATAAGGGGAACTAACATGCTAAGGACACCTGTAACATGACTTACCAGCTAAGAGCTGTCCCATCTCATTAAGGAATCAGAATTTATCCTTGTTATGTGTGTTCCTTGACAATAGCTTAACACATGGAAAGAGATATGTACTTCCTCATTCATTCATTCATTCATTCATTCATTCATTCATTCATTCATTTGTGTTTAACATCAACGTAGTGCCGAACAGTGAACTCATAAAACACAATCTCTGATCATTACAAGAGTAAACTCTAGCTGAGTGGTGGTAGTGCACGCTTTTAATCCCAGCACTCCAGAGGCAGAGGCAAGTGGATTTCTGAGTGCGGGGCCAGCCTGGTCTACAGAGTGAGTTCCAGGAGAGCCAGGGCTACACAGAAAACCCCTGTCTCAAAAAACCAAATAAGTCCAACACATAAAATTCAAGAGTGAATTCTGGCTGTGAAGTTAAGTTTTATTTTAATGAGTCAACACCTGGATAGAATATCCACAAGTGTCCTGTACAGGACATATGCCAGGTTCTAGAACGATGCTCACTACAAGGATCAGCTTCCACAGCTGGACCAGAAAGGATGAGAAGGGAATGGTGGTGTGAGAAATGGCAGAGGAAAGGGATGTTTTGCTTGGTTGTCATACCTTCTCAGAACTGAACATCTTATTTTCCAGCAAGATAAAGTGAACTCTCCTCTCCTGGTGGTAGCTTTTCCTACACAGTTCAAGCATATAGCTGTCTAACAAATACTATACAGTGTAGCTATGGCCAAGGACACAAGGAAATCCATTCTTCAACCACTATCAAAATATCATGGAGGGAAATCTTGCACAAAGTCAGTTGCTACAGTTTATATATGGTTACTTTCTCATGAATGAATTTCATTGTGAGTCTGAACACCGACTTCAAAGGCAAAGCACAGAACCACCCCATTTAGTTTGTAAACACGTTCATGACTTCTTCAGACCAGTTGAGTTCATCTTGGCCTGCAAATGAGAAAGAAACATGGGATGTTAAAAAGATGGCCTAATTCTCACACTTCAGAATTTTGGCCCCCTAAAATTTGTGCTTCCTAATTAGTCCCTGCCTAATTATCTCACTCTTGGGGAAGCAGGTGACTGCTAGTGAGCCGCCTAAAGGTCTAACCACTAGAGGGAGAAGGTGTGCCTCTGGTGACTAGGGAGCCAATGACAGCCGCTCATTAACGGGGTAAGTTTGGAAGGCTCTAAATTAAGCAGTAGTCAGTTAGGGGCGAGGACTGTGTCAGCTCTGGTAGTTAGCTCTTTTGACCACGGATCCTCCTGATTTCATAATGGATTTTCTCCTGCTGATGAAGACTGTTGCTTTTAACTATGAAGACATCGCCTTTTAGTACGGAATGTTTTCACCTTTCTGAGGACCACAGAGCATTGAAACCTGCTTTAGGAGAGAAGGAACGTTTAGAGGACGTCTTTCAGTTCTTTATACATATAATTTTTTTATAGTATGTTACCCTTTATATACTATACAGTCATACATTCCAATTTTCTGGATTTTCTGCCTAATGAATTGATTGACTCCTAGGTTCTGTTTAGTTTGGCCTTTCCAAGTCTTACTTTAGGGGAAAAAATTTATTGAAGGAGTCGAGAAATAGGTGAAAGATTTAATTTTAACAATGCCACAGATATTGGAACTTTTAAAAAAATTAGAAAAATTTGAAAACCTGAGGACAAGAACAAGTGATTTCTTTCCAATAAAATATTGTATCTTGTTTGCTTTATTTCATCACTTGCCCTAACTTAAAAAAAATAAAAAATGAACTGAGTCTACAAATACTGTTACTTAATAACTGCAATGCAAGGAATACAGCTTTTAAAAAGTAAAAATAAACATATTAGACATTATTAGGGTATCCGCTGTGTACCACTGTGAATGAATCCTTTGCTCACACCGAAACCCAAGCTCAGGGCAGAATGGTGTTTCAGATGAAAGTTGATTTTATTTTCAATGTGTCATATCGCTTGCTTCAGCCGAAAGGGGGGGAAGGGAGAAAACTCTCAGCAACTATTTCTGGGATTCTTTAAAGGAGTGGGAGGCACAGCGCCTGCTCCTCTTTCAGCATTGATTTTCTACACAATTTGCGATACGGTTTCTCAGAAATGCTGTTTGGCAGTCCTGATAATTTCATGTGTTTTCAAACTTAACCCACCCAGACTACACAGTTCAGTATTTTCAGCTCCTTTCATTTTCCTTTTCCCTTTAATTATAGAAGTCTCTATTCCCTTTTCTGTGGTCTAAGAAAGATAGTAAATGCTGCTATTTGTAGACTGAACATGCATTTGTTTTCCTCTGGACGATTCCTATACTTTCCCATCCACCCCCACCTCCCATCCCAAACGCAAACGTCGTGATTGACTTAAGGCTAGGCAACACTCCCAGGCTAACAACTTTTTGGACCCTCACGGTTCCTTTGACTCGGGTGGCTGTGGCACACGCCGGGACGGGACTGGATATAAACGGCAAGTAAACACTCTAATTTTAAACTTGCACTGGAAAGCACTTTCACAATGGGGACAGCCGCTCTCCGAGCGCACTCGCGAGGGCCCCTCCGCCGGGCTCCGTGTCCCGGGTCCTCCAGATTGCGTCCGGGAGGCGGCGGGCCGAGGAGAAAACTTCCCGCGGCCGAAATGAGCCGGGGGAACCCGCGATCGTGCCTCCCGCGCGGCCAGCGGAGAACGTGAGCGGGGCGCGGGGGAGCGGGGAGCACGGAGCGGGGAGCGGGGCGGAGCCGGCGCGGGGGGCGCGCGGGGCGCGGAGGAGGAGGAGGAGGAGGAGGAGGAGGAGGAGGAGGCGCGGAACCGCGCGGCACTTGTCCTGTAATCGATTGCCGAGCGCGCCGAGCGAGCGGCCGAGCGCGCAGACCCGCGCACCCGCCCTCCCGCCCGCGCGCTCGCTCGCTCGTCTTTCACGGACCCGGGCGCTCGCGCACGAGCACCCCCCCCTCCCCTCGTCCGCGCACGCGCGCCCCCGCCAGCCGGCGCGCGTCCTCGTCCCCGCCGCCGCCGCCGCCGCCGCCGCCGCCGCTGCCGCTGCCGCCGCCGCCTCCGCTGCCTGCCCTCCGCCCGCGGGTGTCTGCGCGAGCCCGGCCGGCGGGGGAGATGTGCTCGGGCTCCGCCGGATCGGTTTCTCGGGGTTTGACCAGCTGTCCCGGGCTAACCCTGCTCCTCGCTGAAGATGGAGGAAGTAAAAACAGGATTACCCTTAGCTACAGATCCACTGCCTTAGTTTCCACCACCAACTGCAGTGCACAAACACACGTTAGGCACAGGAAAGAAAGAAAGAGAGAGAGGGAGAGGACACACTAACAGTAAACACAAACAAAAGGGTGATGGGATTATTTTACTGCATGCACTGCTGAGGTAAATCTCCGCTTGGCTTTTTTTGCGTGGGGAAGAACAGCTCTTGTTTTATTTGTCTTCTGATTCATAGATTATATATCAATTTGTGTATGGCTTGCAAAGGGGGGAGTGTTTTCAAAGTTAAGTGTAATTATGTGGAATCTTGTTTAGCAGTGTGGTGTGATCGAATGACTTGTTGCTGTTAACCAGTAATAATAATAATAAGATAGGCGCTTTTCTTTCGGGAGGGATGGGTTGTGGCTTTGATTAGGGTAATGCTTTCTGTAAAGGACGCTCAGGGAATCTGGTTGAAGATGATGTCCTTAATGTATCGCCCCCTTCTTGTAATCTGCTTCTGGGATGTTAATGGATTCATCAGTTCTCATCTCTATAGCTGTCATGGATTTGGACTTGTTTTTGCTTTGTTTTAACTTGAATTCCAAGAGGAGAGCTTGGATAGCCTGGCATAAATTGCAGCTGTCTAGATAGAAGGTATTATCCTGTTGCGATTCAAAACAAAACAAAACAAAAATAAATAAAAAATAACCCAGGGTGACACATGTATAAAAGCGGCAGTTAAATCGCTTTGACAGGTTCTGGTATGGGCGAGAGATGGAATGAAGATTTAATTTCTTTTTCTTTTTTTCTATTTCGCCAGAGGCCACAAAACAGTCCTGTGAAGTTGGCCTAGGTTCCTTGCTGGGTTCTGCCTGACTGTCCCTCCCCTCGTACCCCCTCCCCTTTTTTCTTTCAGTTTTCTTGTCTTAGCTTTTGGTCGATTCTTAAGGAACCGGTGGATCAAGTTTTTTCTCTTCTTGTTAATCGCATTGCTGTAGCACTGACTGACCTCTCTCTCTCTCTCCCTCCCTCTCTCTTTTTTTCCTCTTTCCTGAAAGTACGTGGTGCCATTCCTGAGTGACTTTTCCTACTAGACCATCCCAAAGGGACGAGGGGGCGGGGGCGGGGGAGGAGGAGGACAAGGAGGAGGAGAAGGAGGAGGAGGTGGGGGGGGGAGTGTTCCTTCTCTCTCATTTCTTGGTTTTGTTTATCAGCCGATCTGTTTGCTGGATTCGGGCTTGGAATGACCCACCTGTAAAGTGCTTCCCCTCCTCCTCGCCTTGAACTCTGCGGGGGGCTTGGCCTGGAGGGGGCCAGGGAGGGGAGGGGGGGGACACAAAAACTTCTTTCTTTCTTTCTTTCTCCGTTTCTCTTCAGCCCGACATTGTCACCTCCTCTTTGAGGGGTTAGAAGAAGCTGGGATCTCCCGACAGAGCTGGAAATGGTGATGAATGTTTTTTAATCAAAGGACAATTTCTTTTGTATGTACATTTCGTTTCTCTTTCTCCTTTTTCTTTTTCTTTCTTTTCCTTCTCTGAGGGTTTAATAACCATTTCACTGATGGGGTAGACTTCTTTTGCGTCTAACTGACGCCTCCTTTTAGTGTGTGTGTTAAATGTGTACATTTTTAAAGAGATAGAGGCATCTGTAAGATCTCCGTAGAAACTGTACCCCTTTAAACTTTATGGATCCTTTTCTTTAAAACCTTATGTAATCATAATTGAAAGAATTTGATAAGAGTCGAGCAGGTCGGGCTTTAACTGCTATGTAGTTACTAAGGTGAGAATTTGATCTGATTATTCCATAAATAAAGAAAGAAAAGTTTTTTTGGGGTGGGGGGGGGTAGGGAGGCTGGTGGTGAAGGGGAGGGAGGGAGAAGGGAAGTGGTTTTGGAGACAAGAAGTGAAGCTGCCTGTTTTCCAGTAAGTAATGGAGAAATTCCAGGAGCCAGGGCTAAATATACTTGGCGATCAATACAGAAATGGCTCATTGTGAATAATTTAGCTGCTGGTGCTGTGAGAGTTTTGAAACTAAAGGCAAAAAGGACCAGGGCCAAAGAAAAAAAAATAAGTAAAAAAAAATCTCTTTAGGACTTGTCAATTCTTTAACTTTTCCTCTCAAAGAATACAGTTAGATTATCGATCTTTTCACTATGGAATCAAAGCTAGGGGCTGTCGTCTCTTGGAGTTTACTTTTGTTTCTGAGGATTAAGTTCTGTTTTGTGTTGCTGGTGCCTGAAAACCATTCCCTCATACTTGGGTAGAAAATGATTCCCTCGTGCACAGCCAAAAGTTTCTGAAATGTTGGAAATCCGAAAGTCTTAAGTAGGCTTGGCGTTTGTCTCCAGCCGAGGTCTGGCAGGAAATTAAGGGTGCGCTGAACAGGTGCTTACGCAGAATTTGGGGTAGGCTAAAATGTCAATACAAGCAGGAGAGTTGGCCAACTGCTGCACAAGTCTTCAAGATACAATCTAGCACTGAGTAGTTTTGTTTTGTTTTCTTCTGTTTGTTTGTTCTCCCCCTCCCTATTAGAACGTGATGAACCAACTTGCAACAATTGTGAATAGAGCTGTCTGTATACGAGGGAAGTCCTCAAAGAACAGTGTGATTGGGAAGTAGGGAATGGTAAAATACTTAGATAGCAGTGATAGATGGCAAATTCGAGGTATACTCCCTCTGCATTTTTTTCCCTGCTAAAACAGGTAAATTTTGGTTAAGAGAGGCATTCTTTTCTTGCTACAGCCCAACTCACAGCACACTTAATCTTCCCTATCCTATCTCCAGCAGGAATCAGATCATTTGCAGAGAGTTCAATGACTTGCAAATGAGCACGCACAGTACACTGTAGTATGTTTCTTGGGCACAGGTTGCAGGAGCAACATGGACTAACTGCTTGGGGCTTCAAATAAGTTAAGAATTTAATGGCAGATCCAAGGAGGACTCCTTGGGTTAAGGTCATAATCTTTTGTTTTACAGCACTGCACTTTGACTATGGAAGCAGAGGCTATTGATGGCTACTTAACATGTGAGTATTCACTTTCATTAATTTGCCGTGAGTAAGAAAGTTAGCCTTGTGTTACCTGCATGTGAATTCCTGAGCCAGGAGCTTTTATTACGAGTTCTCTAATTTTATCTGCTCGTCACCATTTTATATTAAAGAATATGAGGAAGTTCTAACAGAAACAAAATAAGAAGGGGGCATAGAAATATACTCATTTAATAAAAAACATTATTTAATAATTGTAGCTTACAGAGCTTTACTATTTGATTTGTATTTAAATTTAGAATACATTCCGTTACAGATATATCTTGTAGTGTGGTGTGTACTAGAGGTTTACTACTAGGTAACCTAATTTTCCAGACACATAATATGAAAGAATTAGCTTCTTAAAGTCACAATTTTTTTTAAAGCAAGCTCTTTTTGAACTATCCAGCTAACATTTTAGAAACCATTCACTTTAAGAATTCTATATGGAGGAATTAAATTTGATCCGTAAGGAAAAAAACTTACTGCTTCCACTAGGATAATTTTGGATGTTAAATACTTCCTATCCCCATTGACCTGTAGGAGTTTTATGATAATAAAGTTTTTTTTTTTTTTTTATTATGGGCTGGTTGTGTTTTTGTTTTTTTTTTCTTTCATTCATTTACTGTATATTTTATTTCCTTGTAGATTCTCTTAAAAGACAAGCATGTTTCTTAAGCATTCAGTGTAGCATGCCCTTTGAATCTGAGGCAGTCCGAGTGATTACATGTTATATGACAATGAACAGAAAGCCAAAGATTGTATTTTTTGAAAGCAGGTGACAATGAGCTTTCACCTGAAGGGGAGCACGCCAGTATGGCCATTGACCTCACCTCAAGCACACCCAATGGACAGCACGCCTCGCCAAGTCACATGACTAGCAGTAAGTCTTCGTTTTATGTTTTTTTTTTCTTCTCTTTTTTAATTCTCAAGTGAGAAATTTGAACTTGTCCAGTCTGTGGGGTCTGCTCACTCTGTGGTGTGGCTACTGCTGTAGCGTTTGCTAAGGAAAGAACAACTCAGATTTATTTCCGTTCATTCTAGTATCATAAACCATGAGCCTACTTACTAGTCTGAACTATCCCAAGGTGGCGTTTGCGAGCTGGTGCTTACCTGTGCCAGGTAAGAAATGTTAGGATTTGCTGACTATCGTTTTGACTTCCAAGTTCTTACCTAGCTTTGTTGTTGCTTGATAAAAAAAAAATTATGGGAATGTGTCGTTTTTCCAAAGTCTTCTTCATAGTTCTTTTTTTCTAAAGTAGAAGGAATTTTTTCTTGTCTTGGTATGAAGGTAAAGCACCAGTGGTAGAACTGAAGTGTTGCTTGCTTTTTAAAAAGAGATGAGGTAGTGTAAAAGTCTCTCTCCCAGAGGATTAGAAGTGCAATGTCATTGACAATTTGTGGAGCTCATTCCCATCCCTTTCTGTGGCAAAGTCAGAAGCAGCTTGTTTTGGATCGTCCAGAAAGGAAGGGAGACTTTTGCAAAGCATGTTTTCGGTCTGCAGGCATGGCAGTTTGGGCTCTTTTTTAATATTAGTGTTTTCTAATATGGAATGGAATATTCATTGTTGGGTGTACCCAAAAGGCAGTTGGCATGCTGTCAGTGTCTGAGGACAAGATGCTTTTATTTGTTAAGATTGTAGTTTGCCTCCTAATTAAAACGTTTTATCAGATTAGTTAATCAAGTGCCAATGGTCTGCCACTCCTTCTCAGAACAACTTGAGAGGTCCTTTCCTTTGTACTTTGGGTATATGTTTCAGTCTTAAGTAGAAAGGCCATGGTTTATATTAAGTTTAGTTTAATTTACGACTTTTCTATTTGGGTGATATGTGAAGGAGACTTTTCTTTTTTGAAGATTTGATAACTGAATAACCTACTTAATTATAAGCATATTAAATCAGCTCTGGTTATCTGAGAGAAATTCACCTTTCATGTTATCTCCTTAACCCGACAAGTTCCTGTAAAGTTATAAACTTTATAATTAGTGAAGACTTCTGAATTCTAAGCAAAAGTTTGTCAATTCCTCTTGAATACATTTTGCACATTCATTACCTTCAAATAATTCTAGCAAACGACTTGAAATTGTGATTAAACTCTTTGACTTTACTTTGTTTAAAAATTTTCTTTCTTTTTATGAATGAGGAAAGCTTATTCAGAAAATTTCATTCTCGAGGCAGACTTTGAAATCCCACTGTGTTGTAGAAGGGAAAAATAATGATGATGTTGAGGGAATTATGTCGTTACTCTCCTGTGATGGATCTTGTAGCGCTCTTTTTTTTTTTCGCTTATTGATTTGAGAAAAGTTATATTCCTGTAATAGTATATAGAGATTTTGCACTTTAATATTTAATGTTATTAGTACTTTGGTAGAATATGTTTTTATTTGTCAGAAACAACTTTTTCATAAAAATGTCTAGAAGGTCAAGTTAGATTTATAGGGAGTTCCTACTGGATTCTGGGTAATTTAGCTGCTTTCAAAACCATAGAGAATATAAAAGAGAGAGTCCTGTTGGTCAGATTAATCTGTCACCATCCCTAGTAACTGCCAGAAAATTAGCATGCAGATCTTTGCTTTGGGATCTGCTTTTCTGATTTCTTCATTCAAAGAGGAATCTCTCTTCTTTTATAAAATAAACATTGCAAAGTATGGCAATGATTAGTTTGAACAAATAAGAATTGCTTTTTTTTTTTTCTGTTCACACTAGATCTTTCCTCACCCAGCAACAGTAAATGTAAGTTTGATAGTTTTGTGAGTTTTTTTTTTTTTTTTTTTATTTACTAGGCCGTGGCAATTCCATGTTAGTAGAGTTTTTGGCTAAGCTTTCCGTGTTTTTAGAGTTGCTGGTTAAATATTTTGGCTCAGACTTCAGAGCTGTGTGTTGCATCCTTTCTGTAGCCTCTCTTTGCAGTATCTAGGTTACCCACTTAGGTGTTAGATGGAGAAGATACCCAGTTTTCCTCTCTGAGATCTGGGAGAATATCAGCATTTTAGATGGCCCAAGCAAGCAGAGTTCGAGAGAGACTCTTATTTGCTAACTAGAAGAGAGACCTTTCCCTCAGATGTTTGTAACTTGGAATACATTTTGTATGTGGGGCCTGAAAGTCCACTCGTATGTAAGATCACTTTTTTCTTCATCCGTTTACACATGCCGTTGACTTTGATGCATGAAAATAACATGTTCTCTGCATTAAAAGATAGTCTTCCAGTGTATTTCATGCAAGTCCGCTTCTTCCAAACATGGAATTAAAGTTTGGACTGGAAGGTATCAAAGCTGGAAATCAGTGTGAAAACTTCCTGATAGAATGAGACAGTGTGTCGTAGTGGGAAAGAGGGATCTATGTGTGTGTGTGTGTGTGGAGGAGAGGTGTCGAGGATTCTTTTTATAAAGCTTAAAGAAGAAAGCAACAACAACAACAATAACAATGCCTGGTCGTTAAAAACTAGCATACTGCCCATAGCGCCAGTAAGTTATGATAGCCCACCAGCTCTGCCTTCAGGGAAGGGATCAGTATCACTATAAGTAAGATACCGGTCATCAGTTTAGTGGCCTCGGTAACTATTCTAAGATGTAAGAAGGGCATCTGTACACTGGGTGCCAGCCATGGAGTAAAAACAGTGACAGCAGCTATCATAATTTGACAGTACTAGAGTAGAGCAGGGACGACTTGGGAGAGAATGAAGAATGTTATCACGTCTGACAGTTTTGAGTTTTAAAATTATGACTAAGACAACCTTCAAGGAAGTAACAGATATTAGTGATTGGAATGTCTTTACTGATACCTTCCTATGTTTTAGAGTGATTTTTTTATCGAATGCTTTAGATTTTTTTCTTCTGGAATAAAAATCTCTTTGATAGGCGGATGAGCATTGTTGCCTGAGATCATTAGTGTCCATGTTGAGTTTGATGACAATCTTCGGTGTCAGGGTGACAGTATGGACCTTGATGGCCACTCGAAATCCACAGTGTTTGTGATTCTAGAAACAGAATCTGGAAGTTAAGAATCTGAGATAGACAGCTCAGACAGGGTGATATAAAAATAATCCGTATTGTGTTTTGGCCCATGAGATGAAACTTCGCTTGTGACTCAGTCTGTTTCTGGGTTAGCTTGTTCCCAATTCTGGTGACCTTGCCTGAGTATCAGTTTCAAATAGTCTATACTTAACAGCTGGCTGGCTTTAACATTTCATTTAAAAACATATCTACTAATTAATCAGTGTGTATGTATGTGCACATGCTATGGCGAGGCCATAGGGGAGTTGGTTTCGGTCAGTTCTTTCCTTCCACCGTGTGGATTGTTGGTTACTAAACTCAGGCTATCAGAATTGGCAGCAATCTCTTTTGCCCACTGAACCATCTCATCAGTCTTTGAACATTTGTTTTAAGGTTAAAATTCATAATCTCCCTTGCATCTACTTTCATGCCAATAAATTGCATTTCGTAGCAGGTTATAACTTAAGAAACATGAAAATCCGGTGTGACTTAAACTTTGTTTCTGTCACTGCAAAGCCCCAGCTGTGCAGCCACTGCGGTTGCTCAGTCAGCATGATGGCCAGGTGGCACGTATGGAATCGGAAGAAGTAGTCATTCTAGTTCTGCAGGGCTCTCCTCAATAATCAGGTCAGAGAATCTAGTTTATTCTTTTCATAGCGTTTTACATTCCTCCTTTTCATAGCTAGTTTCTGTTTTTAGAACACAGTGAGGCAGACGTGTATCCCGAGTTCTATTTCTTGCATGTGAAAATTGAGGCTGGAAGAAGTCAGTTGACCTCTTAAGACACCAAAGGAAGACAAAATTCCGAGTTGGGATATTGCCTTGGGGGTTGGTTAGCTAACTGCTGTCACGGCCATGCCAGCCTGTGATAGTGTCTGCTGTGTCCAATGTTGAGCCATGGTTTACAGTGACAAAAGACCAGCATTTAGAAGTAGAGGAGAATCTTTGTGAAGATGGAAAGATGTCACTGTTCCTCTCAAGCTGCCTTCCAAGGTGATTTGTTCAATATGGCTTCTTATGGGACTCCCTGGATTTCTGAGTTGTCCTCTACAGCTTAAGTTTGGCAGTCATGCTCAGCTGTGTTTCCATGTTCCTAATGTAACCCCATAAGTTTGGACTTATAGCAGTGAAGTGTGTGTGTGTGTGTGTGTGTACACGCGCTCGCGCACACACATGGTTGCTCGTGTGCAGGTATATATGTTGACATTTAGTTCTCATTTGCTAATAAATGTAAAGCAACAACAAAAAGCTCTGGCTTGCTGTCTTCATAGCTATCAAAGTTAAGTGCCATGACTGTATCAAAAGGAGAAAGGAAGAAAAAAGTTTAAAAGGAACAATTGTAAGCGTATATTTGCTGGTAATTGACAGCAAAACTATTGCATTTCTTCCGCTGCACCTCATTCTAGCCTGGCTGCCCCATTTTTTCTTTTCTTCCTTCTTCTTCTTCTTCTTCTTCTTCTTCTTCTTCGTCTTCTTCTTCTTCTTCTTCTTCTTCTTCTTCTTCTTCTTCTTCTTCTTCTTTTTTTTCTT